TACTATACAAATATGTACTTGAACTGACTTTTCAGGTTGTCAGTATTGATATTTATAAATCAAAATATAATTTTTTATAATAAATTAAACTGGATAACTAAAGAACATTTCCCAAAGAACAGTACCATCTAAATTGTCTTCCTGGATTTGTCACAGTCAGCAAAGAATGAATCCGTATCTAATTCATCCTTGGGCAAATTTTAGTTTGGTGAAGTCATTTCAAACTCATAACAACAAATTTTCACTGTTCTCTAAAAGGAGAGAACCCTCAATCAGCATATTAACTACATAATAATGGATAGTCAGGAAAAAAAATCTACAAGAGGGATTACTGAAGTCAACAGACCTACGCTGAATTTTCTTAGCTAGTATCGGGAGAATAAATGTTATACTTTGTTTCCCATACAATTCTAAACTTTATTGCAAAATATGTTTTCCTTCCATTAATGCCAGTTTATGGTACAATTTCAAGGGATATCTGGACTGTATGAGGATACAAATATCGCCCAAGCCTCTCTAACAAATGGCCTACGTTATTGTCACAGGTAAGAATATTAAAAAACCAAAACTAAATAAAAAAAATTACAATATAAAAAAAAAAATCAGAACAAACAATCAGGCCATTTTACCAAGCAACGTTTTTCAGTTCCCACAAAAGAGAGAGGAAGATTTGCCTGTTTGTCAGCATCTGAAAAACAGGTTGCAGGTTGTGAACACAATATTAAGAAAGCTGAACTTCCCATGCTTTGAAAAGACTAGGACCAACACTTAAGAAAGAGGTACTGACAGTGAACCTACTTTTATTAGACAGGATGCTTAGGAAGCTACCCTGGAAGGAAGCACACTTGCTGTAGCCTGAATGTTTAAATACCTCTTTGCATATGAGTAATAAGCTTGTCTCTCTGGAGGAAATAAAGAATTTTAAAAAAATGTTAAAACATTAAAAACAAGATTATTGTTTTGTCTGAAGTGTACTGCCTCACCATAACTGCTTGTCACTCAGAATTATCTTTCTTGAAATATGCTGTCCAACTACACCTGCTTTTTCTCTTGCCCCCTCCCCCCACTCACTCAGGACTTAGCTAGCTGAGGAGCGAATCCATTCATCTACAGTTATGGACTGATTCTATATGACTGATGAGGTTGTGCAGGAAAGATACTGCATATGCTAAAAACTAAGAAAACTTCTGGCTTTGTTTGCTTATTTTTTTCAAATAATGAAATATATAAATTAACTTATTAATTTAAAGTATCTAATGAAAAGCATAAGTAAAATGACTAAGATGTCTCAGAATAAAAGTTGCAGATGATGTGGCCAGAGCGTACACAAGAAAAGGCATCTCTGAATAAGAAGCAAATACCAAAAGAAACATCCTGAAGTTAGAGACTAAAATGTGATATCACACAATCCAGGCTTGTTTATGAATACTAGTATCAAATAAACTGTCACATGCAACTTCTATAAAAGCAAGTACCACAGAAAAGTTTGGGGAAAGTGTCATAGCTGAAGTATTATAGCATAGGCTTACAAAGAAACCACATCACAAAGCAAACAATCCAAATTGAACAAAAACAGAAAAATAGATAAACTACCAGTCTTCCTCACCCAAATACACACAACTGTCTTTTTACTTTCATAAAGGAGGTTATTATATCCCATAAAACAACTTTGTAAAATAAATCCTTCAGGCTAACAGTAAGTCGATGTTAAGAATTCACATGTACTTTAACAGGCATTACATGAGACCCATAAGCTCCTGCAAAATGATTTTAAACATCTAAGTATACACATAATTGATTAAACTTCTTTATATTTGCAGTATTCGGGATACACAGAATACAACAGCAATTACTCTGGTGTTGCATTAGACAATATCAGGTATGGTCCTGGATGAGAGTGCCAGTATTGATCCTTTAATGACATTTTGATGATAAAAAACTTTACAAATAGGAGGACAGAAATGTCTTTACAAAGTTTGTATCAAACTTTTGTTTTCTTTTTTAAAGAAGCAAAACAGGGCATTTTCTTCTCATGTGATAGTCAATACAAAAGGTGAGGTATTTAAAATTCCCCATTATCTCTCTAATGTCTTAGGATATAATGGTTTAATGTTGCCTTATTTTATACACGTTATGCTGTTTTAAACCTTCTGCACTTCTCTCAGCTCAACTAATGAAGATGGGCAAGTGTCAAATTCATTGGACCACAGGCCAGATCTGGACCACAGGGCTCCTCGTGAGCAAGATTTAGTAGGCAGGACTCCCCGCAAGCTGGATGTCCCACAAAAAACAGTCATAGCATTAATTCCTGTGGCTACCAGAACCGCTGCTTTGGCACAGTTCTGGAACCCAAGGATTTAAACATCACTGTATTTTTACTACCTGCAATCCCTCCCACCTATCTCAGTCAACAGGGCCAATTAAAAACCCTAATTTCAGTAGTCAAGGGGGGGAAGGGAAGAGGAAAAGGTGAAAGGGAGTAAAAGGGGGAGGCAAGTAACATTAACTCCTTGGCAGCCAGTGACAAGCCTCATTGGCCAAATCCGGCCCAGGGAGGTGGATGGTCCAGCCCATAAGAATCCCCATAGGCTGGTTCATCCACCAGATGTTTAAAACACCCCTGACCTAAGATATACAAATTGAATATTGTGCAACTATTTGATTAAAAATGAATATAATAAACCTAGAATTTTCTTTCTTGCCATTTCTAATACTCGAATATAAACAGGCAAATGTTCAGTTTATGTACAAATGAACTGGAAAACTAAAGCCTAAATGTTAACCAACATTTAAAAATTCTTTTCTCCTTAAATAAATTTAGTAAAATGAGTTTCGCATTAAATACATTTATTTCTTTAACTCCTCTCCTCAGCAGTATCACTACTGTACTTATGTTATTTACAGGCCTCGTTCCTTTTAGTAAAATTAAGGTACCCAAACCCAAAGTTTTGAACAGGTAAAATACAGAAAGGGACTGTGCTAAAATGAAATTAATCTGTACTTGCTAAAAGGCGCTTTTCTTTTTACCTGAACGTTAACATCTTCCTTCTTAAATATTAGTGCTTGAACTTCATCAGGATCCCCATTAAATATCGCTTGAACTAGTGGTGGCTGAAAAGAAAGACAATAGATTAAATTTATATAAACATACATTCCATTCCAATATTTACTTTACAAGTGTATTTTTCTGATGACAACACACCACTAAAAATACCAAATTAAAATACCTCCAACTCCCCAAGGTAGTGAAGGGAGACAACAGAAACTATGAATGTTAGCTTGGAAGAAGCCAAAAACAAAACAAACCCTCAAGGAAAAAATACATCATACTAATTTTGGACAAACCAATCAACCATTCATTTTAAAAAAGTAATCTAGGTTTTTATAAGTCTTTACTGACAAGCTAAAAGAAATGCACTGAAAAAATCTTTGTTCAAAATAAACATAACTAGTCTACAACATATTACAAAGTATTCAGAAACAACCTTATTTGATATTCTTAAAGTTAAAGTAGTAATTCATATGTATTTGGATATATGATAAGAAAGCACAGAGTAATGGAAAGGTATAGTAACAAATGCACACGGATTAGAGACACATTTATTACTAAATATAACGGAATTTCCTAACCAGCATCACAAACTTCTAAGACCATATCGTGTCACAATCACACAGCAAGTCAGTTAAGCAAAGTAAAGTTCTGTTGTAAAATTCATATTTTTTTAAGAACATTTCTGGAAAGTAGCAGCAGCTACATTCATCTACAATCTGATTTATGTTAACTTTTTATTTTAGTATGTGACTGACATTGCTCAGAGTACATCATCTACTGTACCAGTTCTCAAAATACACACAGCTTATTACTGCATTATAATGGTTACATCAGTTTCTAAAGTGGTACTAAATAAATACACCAGTGAGGAGTGAGGAAATGTTTACCACAAATGTCATTTGCTCACGCTTGCTAGAAATGGTATACTGCTATTAAAAATAAAAAGCTCCCATTTGTTAACTGTGTCACAAATAAGGAGTTACATTTTAAAAAAAAAGAGCCCATGAAAGTTTTAATTTCTTAAGTAAGTTTCAAACATCTCTCTGCTTAATATAGGTGGTTTACATTTTTAATTACAACTGCTCGTTCAATAACAAAATAATCCAGCTACTACTTTGCATATTTATGTAAACCCTCTGACAAGCATCATGGGAACTTTGCAGCTTTTACAAACATTGAACATTTAACAAAACAGACAGGTCTTACCAACACATTTCCAGAAGGTGATGGACGCAGAGATAGGTTTTCCTGAGGTAATTTGGAAATAAATGTGGGAGAATCATCTTCTACCTCCTCCAAAACAACAATACAGACTCGACTCATTCCATCCGTTTGAAAATAAAAACCTATATTCAGAACAGCACTGTAGAAATCACAGTCGAGGCAGCCCAGGAAATGCTCTCCTCTGCCTATATACTCACAAACTTAAGTTCTGAACCTATTGCTGGTGTTTTAATACTAAAAAAGGACACTGTTGCACTTCCTTATATTTCATTTGCTATATTCAACACCCTGGGGTGCTCAAATGATCCTGTTTAAAAAATTGCATTTTTTTCAAAATATAATTTCATCCAACATCTACACTACAACACTGAATTTGTGGAAAATGTATCAAAAATAGTCTTCAGTATAACTACATTACAGTAAAAAAGTCATTGCAATAAATCTCTGTTACGTCCTTTCACCAGCAAATGTTTTTCTTAATATCGCTACTTCTACAGCATAAATTTATCCACACAGTGAAATCATTGTTGTAGACGACATGACACTATCCTGTGTAGAATGAAACAAGGAACAATTGCTCTGACAGAGATGATCACGGCTACACAGTCCCACAAGGTCAGTTTCCAATTAACAGTATCAGGCTTTCTGGTGACTGAAAAATAAACACAACTGTTCTTAGTGGTTCAGGATCTAATCATTTTGCAATTTGGCAACTTCATTCGTCAATGTCAAACACAGTCCACACAAATTTTTCAGCAGTCCTTCAGAATGTGATGCTCAGAGGTTGACAATTCTTTCCCATGCAATAAAAATCTCTGCAATGTACAGCAAAGCTGCAGTACATTTACATGCGATGAGTCAGACCACAAGGGACAATGGAAGTCCTGGAATAATACTGCCCGTTTAATCCAGATTTCCCAAATGACAGAAATGTAGATAGCTTTATTCCATCAGTGACATGAACAACGCAGAACATTCATTTTTTTCTCAATCAGGCAGTTGCTGTGGCTGCTCCAACAGGGAAGGCATTAGACAGAAATGCTGTTAAGGAAGACTGCTTCAGCAAAACAAGCAAGCTACCATGGCACAAGGGCTCAGATTACTGCCTTAGACTTCTGAAAAAGCAGTTCATCACTCAAGTGTTTCTTTTGATCACCATGTGAATACAGTTCCCATTATAGTCTTCACTCAGAGGAGAGGAAAGGGAAAAAAAAAAAAAAAAAAAACTCCGTGCATCTTCTTTGAGCCAACT